AGACTCAGCGCTGTGGAAGCAACAAGGATCTGCCCTGCATGTCAAGTTCTTACACAGTGTTTGCCACCTAGCAGATACTCAGGGATGAGTTCTTGAACGAAGGGATTGAGGAATGAATGAATCTCCATGCCAATCACAAAGAAGAGAAATCTGAGAGTGAGCCTGGGGGGTGTCTGAGAACCAGGAGTATTTAGATCTAAGCCTTGACACAGTCTGCTTAGATTTTCTTGCTAAGGAAAGAGGAGGGGTCAAGGAGTAAAGGAAAAACAACAAAACCCCAAAGCATCTTAAAGTGCTCAGAGTTCCTGGGACAAGCTGTGGACTATTAATTGCAAGGGAAAAAAATCACAACAGACAATGGGTTTAAATGATCCCTACTTAGAAATATACCTTATGGTTTGCAGAATGACCTTGGAATTATATTGTCACCAGTCTTTCCAAATACTGAGAAATGTGACTTAGTAACAAAAGTCATCAGCCTGGGAAACATGGTGAAAACCCCTCTCTACAAATACAAAAAATTAGCCGAATGTGGTGGTGCATGCCTGTAGTCCCAGCTACTAGGGAGGCTGAGGCAGGAGGATGGCTTGAGCCTGGGAGACTGAGGCTGCAGTGAGCCGTGAAACCAAGAATTCTGATTCTACTTGTGTGAGTTTCATTGTGTTTGTCTACCAGGTCATTTGCAGAGCAGAGAGACCTCCTTCTTCCTGCTTTTTAATTTATTTTCTATAACATACACAAATACACGATATCCACAAAGAAGACAGTCAACCAATTTCTAACATCTGGATGTACCTGAGAAGACATTCTGAGCAGATGTATACTTGAGAATTGAGAGACGCATGAAAGAATATTATTTCAAAGATGAGGGGGAATTGGAACTGGATGACATTTTAGAGATTTGCCCTTATTTTTTCCTAATTGAAGCATATCACTTCCGTTAGGCTCATATTTAGAAACTGTTAAATGAGTGAGGGTATTAAGTCTCCAGGGTTTCCTGACTCTCAGTTGGATTATGTTTTTTATTAGATTCCAGTGGCACTGGGCATGTTACTTTAATCCATATTTAAACTAGGGTGACCTTACGTTCCGATTTGCCCTGGATGGTCCTGGGTTATACCTGTTGTCCCAGCAGAATTATTAATAGCGGCCTCCTCCACTGCCAATAGCATTCTGGTTTGCAATATTAAATTCTACAGTCACTCCAACTTTGACTCCTAAAAGGTTTCCAGAATATGCCGTACTTTCTCATTCATTGTTGCAACTTATGGCTATTTTATTGATTTTTGAGACCCATCTTTCTTTCCGTCGGAATTTAAGCATCCTTTGAACTTTAGAAGGCTCCTCACAGAAGTGGAAAGCCATCTACATAAAGACAACTGTTATTCATTAATAACATGTATTGGTTAATTAACATGTTGCTAATTAATAATTCTATTATTCGAGTTATATTCCTGTTTATCAAGGATATTAATTAAATTACATGTTAAGTATGCAATGAATGTCAATGGTTGAAAAGCACATACCTTCATAGCCAAAGAGAAGTAATAACAAAAAGCCTCCTATCTTGCGCGGCATCTTCCCGTCGTCCTCAGCTGAAGCTCTACCTTCCTGAACTGGAGACCTGGGCCAGGAGCAGGGGATTAAGTTGAGCCCTGGCCTCGTTAAGCATCTTACTCCATTTAGTTCTTAGGTCTTGGGCTGAGCCCCATCAAGTTAACCCACAGAGTTACCTGCCTCAACAAGAAAGTCTCATGGAAGATACTAGCATCAGCTGAGATTGGGTTTGTGAGGAAGATACTTTTCATTCTTTTTTTTTTTTTTTTTTTTCTGAGATGGAGTTTCACTCTTGTCACTCAGGCTGGAGTGCAATGGTGCAATCTCGGCTCACTGCAACCTCTGCCTCCCGGGTTCAATCTAGTCTCCTGCCTTAGCCTCCTGAGTAGCTGGGATTACAGGCACCCGCCACCCTGCCTGGCTAATTTTTGTATGTTTAGTAGAGATGGGGTTTCGTCTTGTTGGCCAGGCTGGTCTCGAACTCCTGACCTCAGGTCATCCACCCGCCTCAGCCTCCCAAAGTACTGGATTACAGGCGTGAGCTACCGCGCCTGGCCCATACTGTTTTCATTCTATCTTTAATGTAAGGGAAGCAACGGAGGGAGAGAGGAACTAGAACCAGAAGTCTCAGGTCTTCATCCTTTCTTCGCCATCATCTTCTAGGGGGCAACCTTGAACAATTTCCTGCCAAATAAGCATTAGCATTCTCAAATTGTATGAAAATGTCATGGATTCCCCTCTTTGAAAGCAACTAGGCATCATGTGCACACCTATTCACTCAGGAAAAGGCTAAATTTGGTGGTGGGAGGACAGTTACACAAAGCTGTGCATTGCTACTTATAACAACAAATTGGAAACTATCTAAATGGCCAAGGTTAGGGGCTGGGTAAGTCGGAGATGAATGCAGCCAGTAGGGTTAAGCGCACAGACTGCCAACCCAGACTGGGGGCAAACTGCAGCACCAGCACTTTACATTGTGACCTCAGGGCAAGTTATTAACATCTCTGTGCCTCAATTTTCTCCTCTGTAAGATGACTTTTTTTTTTTTTTTTTTTTTTTTTTTTTTTTTTTGAGACGGAATCTCACTCTGTCGCCCAGGCTGGAGTGCAATGGTGCGGTCTTGGCTCGTTGCAACCTCCAGCCGCTTGGTTCAAGCGATTGTCCTGCCTCAGCCTCCCGAGTAGCTGAGACTACAGGCGCTTGCCACCATGCTGGCTAATTGTTTTGTATTTTTAGTAGAGACAGCATTTCACCGTGTTAGTCAGGATGGTCTCGATCTCTTGACCTCGTAATCCACCCATCTCGGCCTCCCAAAGTGCTGGGATTACAGGCGTGAGCCACTGTGCCCGGCAATAATACCTACTTTCTAGAGTTATTTTGAGGCTTTCATGAGATCATATATACAAAATACTTAGCACAGTGCTAGACATAGTTAGCTATTATTTTTACATCACCATTCAGAATAAAGTTGATAGGAGGAAAAGGGGATTTGTTTAATAGGTATAGAGTTTGAGTTTTGTAAGATGAAAACGTTCTGGAGATCTGTCTCACAACAACGTGAATATACTTCACACTACTGAACTGTATACTTAAAAATGATTAAGGCGGGCTGGGCGCAGTGGCTCATGCCTGGAATCCCAGCACTTTGGGAAGCCGAGGCAGGCAGATCACTTGAGGTCAGGAGTTTGAGACCAGTCGCGTAACATGGTGAAACCTCATCACTACCCAAAATACAAAAATTAGCTGGGTGTGGTGGCAAGTGCCTGTAATCCCAGCTACTTGGGAGGCTGAGGCAGGAGAATTGCTTGAACCCAGG